TAATTAAAATAAGGCGTACGGATGAAATATTACAAACTGTACAGTACTGCTGTTACATAAATATTTTGGTTCGAAATGGTTTTCTCAATTTTTGGATTCGAGAGATGTTTGAGTTTAGAATCACTGGACTTATGTGATTCTCCAAATTTAGTGTATGATAATATGGTCATATCCTTAAGAATTTGCAGCTTCTCCAAATCTAACGAGATTTAGCTTGGTTGAACAATGTTGATCAACCAGTTTAACTGTGACTTGTGAGTGCGTCTTAATTTTTTGTTCTGACTAAGTCGTACTTATCATAATCTATCCTCCCTTCTTCCAGTCCAATTACTAAAACTAAAAGTAAACAAAATGTTAGCTAGAATGCAAAACCAATGAAAAATTTCTAAATTCTCTAAATCGTCAACCTCCATTTATAATTTAAGAGAATTATTGACACAGCACCAATGAGGCAATGACCGGTCTTGTAACAATCATGGACTCAATAGACCAAGTCGTAATGTCAATGATTTTTTTTTTCATGGTTTAAAAAAAAAAATCATTCCACCAGATATTAGTTTGTATCCACCCGCCCATCAGATAGGGTGTTGATTTAAGTTATCGGATTAATTTTGTGTTCTGTATTTCACATGATTATTAAGATTTTTTAGAGCGAAAATGTGATAAAAATTCAAATCGTGTCAATTATGTCGTATCGTGTCGAATTGTCGCAGTAAATTGTATCGTCGTATTGGAAATTGATCAGAACATACTCTGTTATTAGTCCGTATCTAATTCGAAATGTTAGAAAAACAATAAAAAAAGGAAAGAGGGTACACTTGGATAATCTTCTGAGTATAATTTTAAGTGTTTTTTTTTAATGAATAATGTAAAAAAATAATAATGTACTGAAAATACAAAAATATACACTAGGATGGAATATTTATTGTTAAATTATTGACCTAATTATTTCTTTCAAACGATCACTAAGACTTAATACTTTTTCTTGGTAAATTAATATCTTTTCTGTCCCAAAAAAATTTACTGTGAATTTTGAGATTCATAATCTTTTAGTACCAATCTCAAAACTATACTCCCTCCATTCAAAAATAAGTGTCATCCTACACTTTGCACATAGTTTAAGAAACTCTTAAATAGGGTAATAAAATTACTTGAATATGCTCAACCAACCTCATTATAAAATTGTCCACCAATAGCATCAACTCTTTTGAGGGTAATTTTGAAAATTTTTGACAAAAAGTGCATTGAAATGTGAGAACGACACTAATTTTGGAATTTCTCTATTTTGCTAAAACGACATTTATTTTGGAATGGAGGGAGTACTATTTTCCTCAGCTGACGGAGGGAGTTTTTTTCTTGTTTGTTTACAGTAGAAAAGGAACGTAGCACCATATACACGTATGCACAAGAAGTTTTCTTTCCTCCCCCACGTTGAACTTAACAGGTCTCAAATATAAGATCTCGAAATTAGTATACTCATCTTCCCTTTGTCGATAAATCCAACTCCCCAACTCTTACGTGTTAATTATTTAATTGATAAATTAATCAATATTGTTTCACATATCGCCGGCTTAAAGATAATTGTTCTGATATATATAATATTTCCTCTTGTTCATGAAAATAAGTCACAAGATTATTATGTATTTTTTTTTTTAGGACGAAAAGAATATACAATTAAGAAAAATTTTGTTCACAAATCAATTGGCTTATATACTCGATGGTCGAATATTGGCAATTAGTTCTCCCAGCTATACTGACAAGAAACAAATTCTTTTGGGGGATCTCTTGAACTTCGTCCAAAAGTATAATGACATCAAAAGGAAAACTTATTTTGAGGACAAATTCAATCTGTTTCTTTTATCATTTCTCCTTCTTTCTTCTTCTTCTTCTTCTTAATATTTGTTTTTGCTTTACTTTATCTAATAAAAACAGCGGCCCCAATTGAAGAATATACGTTGGAGTTAACGATTTTACCTTGGGCTATATGAATTACAAACACTAGTTGAGCTAAAATATTTTTGAACTTGGGAAAGAGATGGTTGTCGTTTCCTTTGTTTATCCGAAGACTTTGGTTCCTATTTGTTGAATTTGTGAGTATATGAATTTGACTCCTATTTGCATAAACTCTCTGTTTGATGTTACCTACCTTATTCATTGATTGATTTATGGAATGCAATTTAGTAAAAATATTAAAACTGAATATAGACTACTTTTTATGACAGAAAGAATAGAATAATAAACAAGTAAATTCTACTATAAATAGTACATTTATTTCAGATAGAATAGCAATTTTAGAAAAAAAAATCAAGTAACTCTGTAACAAACAAGAAAATTTAAGTATAATACAAAGCTCAAAAATTAATGCGTACTACTTTTTATCCGGGGAGTAAAATAATAAACAAGTAACTAACTATAAATAGGACAATTATTTCGAGTGAAACAATTATTTTCAAAAAAAAAAGAAATTACTCAAGTAAGTCCCTAGAAAACAAGACATTTGTTTCCGACAGAAAAGAATAACTTGATACTCAAGTAACTCAACTCAACAGCATTTTTTTCTTTTGATGTAAAATCCAACAGCATGGTTTGTACTATTATTCCACTGTTGGTCGTTGAGGAGAGGAAGTTACTGTGTCGACTGGATCCAACATAATCGAACACAGAAACATTACTTTATGCGAAGACTAAGTAGGAAAAAAAAAAAAAAACGTTTGGAAGAGTAGCTTAACTTAAGAACTACTCCTATTCAAAAAAAAAAAAAAACTTAAGAACTACTGAGAATTTTTTCTACCACAAGATTGATGTTAAACTCTAGCTGGTTGTTCGGGGATTGTTTATGGTATTTTTCATTATAGTTTGTAAGATATTACAGTGATGTGAGTTTACTTTTTTTGTTTTTTTAATGTTCTCGGTTTTTGTTTCTTTTTTTTAAAAAAAATCGATGTTAAAATCTAAGGCTTTGTTTGTTTCAATTTTTAAATGGTTTTTTTTAAATTATGATATTATTAACTGTCTCATTCCAGCATATCTTTTTACATTTTCAATATACCTTTTTACATTCTCAATACAAAAAATACTTAAAAACATACACTAAAAAAACGAAACAAATGTAAAAGAGGGATCTATATTTTGATGATGTTATGTATTCCCATTAGCTATTTTGTTTTCATTTTTGACTACTAATTTTGCGATCAACCATCAACCAATAAGAAAAAAATCTTGTTGTATATTCTTCCCATACCAAGAAAAAGGCCATAATAGAACATATTAAAACAACAAACAACTGAAAAATGAACGGAAAATTGAAATTTAATCAACAGTTTAAAATTTTAAGTACTTTTTTATTCTTTAAAATAATGAAGACATAATGTACACGTCATGACATCATCTGGATTGCTTTTGACAGAATTTAAGCAACTCGGGAAGTTTTGAAAAATGTGACACAGATTTCCTTTTAGGGTCTGCCGCCCAGAATAAAACCAGGCACAAATTATTCAACTCTTTCTTTGTTTTTATTATCTTCTTAATTATTTAGTAGTATTACTAGTTGTGGGCCTGTGCATTGTCCGGATTGTGAAAATATTTCGGCATAATTAGTGCAGGAAAAAAACTTGATAAAAAGTGAAGAATAAAAACACGGTATCTTTAAAATTTTAGAAAAAAAAAAGATTTCAAACAGTAAGTAAATACGAAAATCTATAATAGCCAAACATTTTTTCTTTATTATGATTAAATGTGGTAACACATATGTAATATGTTAGAACATATAAAAAGCACGACATCTTTATTATAATGTATAGTCTCGTTTATACGTCACTTAACAACACGGCCATCTCATCAATCTGCAACACAAAGTTATTGTAGAAAAAAAAAAAAAAGAAAGATGAACTACCTTAAGTGACTAATTCACCTTTCAAACGGGATGGAAATTGACTTCGCTTATGCACCAGACTGCTGTCACGGCCTCTAATTTGAGTTATTTATAGTACATAAGATAATTATGGTCGTAGGGTTTAACATGTTATGGGATATTTTTGGTAAATATTTTATATGAGTAATTATATGATTTTGTGGATAGGTTAAAACTTTAGGCTTTACTGATAGAATTTGGAGCAATTAATTAACATATTTGGGGAGTTTGTGAATATGGACATAACATTATTCTGGTTAATTTACCCATAATTTTTAAAATAAATTTCATTTATAAATTTTCGGATGTGGAAGGGAATTAAGGTCATCAATTTAAATCTCATTATTTTCGAATTTTAAAATCATATCATGATGTGCCATAAATTTGGAAGTCATATTTGGAAATGATATTTATTGTGCTTTTTTGAAAATTCTGAAAGCGTTTAGAAACGTTTCAAAATCACTGATGATGTGCCATACGTCCGGATCATGTTCATTGTTAACTAATTATTATGTTTTTGATTTACCTTGGTTAATGAAATATATATGAGTAAATAAGTTAAATTAAATAGCTACCAATTTTTTTACTATATCTAATTAGACTTGATTTTTATGATTGTTTGATTGGACATCTCATTATATGACACGTGTCCGAAAAGCTTATTCTCTTAATATATAGGATTCTTTGAGCTAATATGCTGTTTTGATCAACGCTTAAATGAAATGCTTAGGTCCATGAATGAATGCAAATGGTTTTTTGTCGATAAAAACACAATTTTGAAATCTTCATCATTTTTATGTTTGTTTCGTTTTTTTAATGTGAGTTTTTAGGTATTTTTTGTATTAAAAATGTAAACAAATATATTAAAAATATAAAAAAATATGATAAAATAAGACAATTATTATTTAAATATTTTGAAAATATTATAAGAAAAAACCTAACAAACAAAGCCTTAGTTTTTTAAAAAAATGTCTTCAAAAGACTCTAAAGGCTAGGGGCCTAAAAAGAAGAAGAAACAGAAACTGCTGGATTATGCAGTCCTCTCTGCAAGAGGCTGCTGCGTACTACTGATTTTTCAAATCAATTTCAGCAATCACATCAATCAAAAATTCACTCCATTCAGATGAAAATGATGCAAAAATCCAGGAAACACGCAATTTATACCAATCTGACACACATATACTATATTTTGCTTGAATGTCTGTTGTATCAAAAAAAGGCCACTAACTATATATACATAAAGATAATTCCCTTCTGATTTTCATTCGTTAATTAATCTCCAGAAACTTGGCCATATAGTTTACAAAACTTCCAGCAAAAAAAGGTACCCAAAAAGGAAACCATTCAATGGCCTAAAACCAAAACCCCGTTAACTATACAACATCATCTATTGGTAACAAAATTTGGCAAATTAGTTTTGCCGATCACCAAAGTAATCCACACAGTAGTACTATTAATCATCGCTGACGCTGAGATCTGAGAAGGAGATCTTTTTGCAATCTTTAGAGAGCCATTTGGAGTGCAAATAACTGGCTTTTCTCCATGGAGGAATGTGAAGCTCTCTTTCCCTTAATGACTTCTTCCCAGCAGAACACATCAAAGTGATTACCTTTTCCAATTTCATTTCTGTCCCAACAAAAATTTTCGGTACAGAATTAAGCATATCTTCATATTGGGGTGTTGGCCTCGCAAGCTTAAATTGAGACCTAAAATCAATGTCCACAATCAATCTTACACCCTTCTTCATCATCACCTCAATGTACTCATAACCTGCCAATTTCATAAGACTATCAAAAACCCACCAAAAAAAATGTCAAAAGAAAATTAAAAATTTGATCTTTACAAACAAACAAACAAACACACACACACACACACACACACACACACTATTGAGCTAAAGATGGAAAAAGACCTGAAGGGCACTGCTTATTAGATGGTGTTTTGGTGACCCAAGAAGTGGTACAAAGACTTGCTTCATAGTGATCCTCCATTCCCAATTTCATCACAATCCATTTCCTTAGTTTGCTGGGCTCCAAATCTCTACGACACCCAAATATTTTCCCCAGAATTTCAGCCTCATCAAGTGTCACACTCCCAAGAATTTCCTAATCCCAGAAATATAGAATGATCGGAACATTAATCCAAAAAAAAAAAAAAAAAAACCATGATACGAAGAAGAAAAATATTTATGATACCTGTAAAGTGGTCAAGGATGATTGATGATCATCAACTGATGAGAGGGATTTTGGAGAAGAAGAGTGGGATGAAGATGAATCGAATTCTATGTAATCCCTTATCATTTGGGACAACCGATCATCTTCAAAACCAGACATAATGTGGCTTCTATGATAAGCTAGAAAAGGAGAAGAGAAAGAAGCATGTGATGGTTTCTTCTTTGGTTTATATAGAGAAGAGTGTAGACTTTTTTGAAAATGCAGTGGTTTTGTCTTGGAAGTTTTCCCGTAGTTGCTTTATATAAATGGGAGGTAAACAAGGATCCATTTTCCACAAAGTCTCTATCATTTTCTTTTTCTTTTGAGATTGTAAAAATTAAAAAATTGCTTGGTAGTCTACTGAACTTAAATCTAATTGCAATCTATTCCTATTACATTCCAATTTTGCTCACTTGACCCTTAATGCTGGTGTTATGAAACGAGCAGTCCAGAATGAGTAAAAATCATTGACTCAGAAGCTTATTTGATTTAGTTTTGTTTTTTATTTTGATGCAATTTGTAAAAGAATATGTTACATCCTATGACTATGTACATAGTGTCTTTTTCAAAAAAAAATTATTTGATGGTTCCTTTTTTACTCCTTTCACATGATAAAAACAAAATTCAAAGCAGAAACTATTTTCACGCGAGAAAGATCATTTTAAAGATGCATTAGCAGCATTGTTTATCTCCTTGAATATTCTCAAATGTAATAGGAAACACACAACGCAAATAAACTACAAATTAATAAGTTGGTGGTATCATTTAAATACGAACAAATTTATCACAATTGAAAGTCTGCCGCCTGTTTGGCAATGAGCTTAAAAGTTGAGGGCTGAGGCAGTTTTTTTCCGAAATTTAATTAAAGCACTATTAAATAACATGTTGTAGATGGAAGGGAATCTGTAGGAGTAGTAACAATTTTTGGATAGGATGGGGTGGGCCAGCGTTGATGAAGTTCAATAACAATGACTATTGAAAATTAAGATGAAAATGTCAACATCATCTACTCATACTCGCGTTGGCCATAAAAAATTGGGAGCATGAAGAGAGAATTTAGAAAACACTATACCTATGGTGTCAGTTTGAATCGTTTTCTTGTGTCTTTTTTTTCCCAATTAAATGTGAAAAAAAATGTAGTTGAAGTGGTAAATGTACTATTTAAAACTTATATATTAAAAATCCTACTAAACTCCAAAAAAAAAAAAAAAACTCCAAAAACTAACAAAACATTTTATCAATCTCATTTGTTTATTTGATCTCAAGACTTTTTATGGTCTTTGTTGCAACGATTTCTTGTAGAACTTGACAAAATTCACAAAGACGTGTCTCCACCGCGGAGAAATCCTTTTGGTTGAGTTCAAAACTATATAGTATACTACTAGACTAGACACTAGAGAAGTGTTGTTAGGTAAGGGAAATTTCATTGGAAAAATGTTTGGTTTGTTGTTCATTGGGGTTTTCTTTTTCAGAATTAAATTTTAATAATTGCTCATCCTAATAAAATGTCCTATTCCAATATATTTTTATATTTCCAAAAACTACCTTAAAACACATACTAAAAAAAAATGATCCAAATATACATCGGTAAAATATGTTTTTCAAATATTGGAGTGTGATTATGGAGAGAAGTAAAGACTTGAGGAAAGGCTATTAATGGAAACAATGACTTATTTTTATAATATTATTATTTATTTCCCAAAAAAATAAACTATATTGAAATTTCAGATTTTCAGTACCTATAACCACATAACTAAGATGTGATTTCAACCCTTATCCAAAAATAAAAAATAAAAAAATAATTCGCATTGAGGACTAACAGATGGATTGAGCAATTAGTTTTGGGCCAAAAAGAATAAATCAGCATTGAAATTGAGCAATCCCACAGGATAAAGTGAGAGTATTACGTCTTCGTATTCCAATAGTTTGTAAGTCTGCCAGATGATAAAGTGAAGAGTGTATGGTGAAAAGGAGGCCCAAGATTATTTTTGGGCTCTAGAAATGATACATTTATGCTGTATAGGGTGGCCAGATTCGCGTGAACGGGTTGTTCAATCTCAAACCGGTCTCATCAAAATGTCACATGGAGATTACAACTAAAATTTACTTTTGAATCTATTTATCTATGATAAATCTCTTGTAGGTATCATTACATTTTGATCAATGACCAGTTTTCTTTGCATGGAAAGAAAAAGGAACTTGGGTTTCTCAAAATGTTTCTATTACTGGTGGATTATATTATAAAATTAATACTAGACTACTAATATGAAACTAAGCATAAGAACAAAGAAGTATAAGAGAGTAGAGAGAGATAAGAGAGTTGTATTCAGATGTATTTTGAAGCATGAAGTAAGGGATCAAACTGTGGGATATGAATCACCTATCATTAATGCTAAATGATAAATATTACAAAATCGTATCTCCTTAATTGTGAACCAGATGTTTGGCCCAGGCAGATGCCTGGGCGCCCCTTCTAAATTACTATTTTATTAAAATCTAATTGAATTACTATTTTTTGAGGAGTTAATTTGGCGTATATATCATTTATGCTATGATTTGGGGCTTAAAAAAATATACCTATAAATCTGAGGTTATAAGGGAATAATAAATAATTAGTTTATAAGGCATTATTCTTAATTACTGGATTTAGGTATTTTTATTTTTTGTTTATATTAAGCCTGCAAAACTATACGATTGGACATTTGAATTTGAATTAATATATCCATTCGTTTGAAATGTAACTGATCCTTATTTGTAGTAAAACATGTGTTTTTTTTTAAAAAAAAAAATTATATAACTTCTAATTGAAAGAGACTTACACGTGACAAAAAGACTCCTGAAATCTGAAATATGGTGCATTGGAGCCAAAACAGATGCATACTTAGTTGCCACATAAACTTCATGTCTTCTGCTTTAATAGGGTAAAAGGGATTGTGAATAGAATAATACGTATTAATATGGACATTCGATCAAATCAGATTTTTTCATAACAGATTCTTACTTTTTTACCTTTATATATAAGGCTTGTTTAACAATTTTTTTGCTTATGAATTTTCTGTTCTTTTTATGTATTCTTTATTAATAAGTATATAATTGTACCGTCATATTTGGGGTCAATTTGGTTCTTCTTACAATTCATCCCATTGGAGAAAAGAATCATATGGTAGTAATCCTCAAAGTGTTTGCGGTTGAGAGGTTTTCATTCAATATAATCCTCAATTGTTGGTAATAGTGAATTTTCTAAAGAATCATATGGTAGTAATCCTCATACACTTGAGAGGTTTTCATCAGCGTTTTACTACTTTCCTGACAGGAATCATTTTCGTTTAAGTAGTGTAAACTTTCTGACAACGAATCAGGAATCATTTTCGTTTAATGAGGGAATTTTCTGTAGTAACATTTTTAAAGCCATTTAAACCGTTTACCGTTTACAATCTATTGGAGATTCATTTTCAATTTTCTCCCAGCAAATGCAGCCTCTTGGAAAAAAAATTAAGGCACACCAGTAGAATTGAAACTCATTTCCTCCTGGCTAATGCTATAATTGCAACTCTTTTGACAACTTAATTAGTTAATTATCTTTCAGATGAGACAGGTGGATTTAGACTTTTCCAAGAAAACAATTACTCGTTCGAGTATCTGTTTTTTGGGCAGCTAATGTTCTTCAGAAACCAAAATGCAAAAACAGGGACTAATACCCCTTCAGTCTTCACACATAATTAATCATGAATAATGAAACTAATCTTTACTAATCTGCTTAACACACTTAAATTAATTCTCCAGAAATGCTAGAATCCCAATAAAAAAGAAAATCGTAAGAAGAGTGCAGAAATAACAATCCAAACAATAACCCAGAAACCATATTAAACAAAACCCAGATTCGAGCGACCCAGAAAGAAATCGAAGGAACCATCAGAAACCAAGATTATCCACATAAGCTAAATTAGCTATATATACGGTCCGCATCATGGTATGGACATCCTCTGGTTCCGACTTCTCTACTTGAATTAAAAAAAAAAAGTTAAAATGGTTTTTACTACAAAGAAAAATCCTTTGATTAAGAAAGAATCGATGAAGACAGAGCTCAGAAAATATTATGGGTAGGAGAAATTCCTCATCACCTCTAAAAATCAGAGTGGTGCATGACTTTCTCAAAAATCTCATCACAGCTCTTCTCATAATAATAATAATAATAATAATCACAAATCCATAACCCAATACCTAACAATTACAGCAAAAAAAATTAAGAGAGAAAATCAAAGAACAGATCCAGAAAAGAGATGCATAAGAGAGTTGGTGGCTACTCTTATATATATTGGAGAGGAAGCCGTCAAGAGGAGGGTTTTATAAGCAAAACCTAAAAACCTAATTAGCTCTTGGGTGTTAACATTTGGGCTGCTTTATTTATTCTTTGTTGGCCCAAAACTATTTTTCGGCTACAATAAAAAACAGTTCTATTTGGGCCTCGTAGATCTTGCTGTATGTCGGTTCTTACTTACGTTCTATAAATCACATTGAAACCAAATCCAAAGAAAAAATTGCCCGATCTACCGACAACTTTACAAACGTCGTTAATTCTAGTATATTCTTTTTCGGTTAGTTAATATTATCCTAAACTATTTAATCGTTAGCCGATTATGTCCAATTTGCTAATTTCCGTCTAAATTAACGGAATTATATTTGTTTTAATAACAAAAACACCCTAATAGTTTTAAAAATTATAAACATAACCTCAAAAATTTAAAAATAGTCTCTTTTCAGTTTTTATTTAAATTTTTATTTATTTCTTTTTACTATTTTCCATAACTATAAAAATATACTATGATCTTTTAAAAAAATTATTTATATTTTAACTCTAATGTATAAATTTATAATTACATATTTGTAAGTCATGTTTGATTTACATGTATAAGCATATTAATTTTTTAATAATATGGTTTAACAGTCATGATACTAGTTTTCTTAATCTATTTTTTTAATCTAAAGAAAGATTATTTAACTTATACTAATTTTTCACAAAAAATTAAACAATTAGCATAGATTAAAAAAGAATATATTGGTATACTTTAATGTATTACCATTTAATTCAACGAAATTTAGATTGTATTACAAAATTTAAAAAATAATTAAAACTAAAATATAAATTTTCTTTAAAAGGCCAAGTACGAACAAAAAGTAAAAAAAAAACAAAAAAAAACCTAGTTCATTTCTACATTGACCCAACACAAGAATATAGTGTCACGGAATTTACAAAAATGGTACCAAATATTTTTATAAAAAATATGTATATTTATCATTGTGAGGGTTTAACATTTTGTGATAATGTTTTGAGATATTACTATATCTAACTTTGGCATGAAGTCTCTTTTTCTAAAAAAAAATAAAATAAAAAAAATCCACTCCCGCACTGGACTCCACCTTGTTTTTTTTTTTTAAAAAAAAAATTAGATTGTCTCAATGAGAATTGAAACCTCGAACACAGTTTTAAGCATCTCATATCTTAAATCACATGACCATCCAACTCAACCCTCTTACCTTTATTGTATCTCACTTAAATGTGGGTAAAATCACTCACCCGGTTATAAATTCTTTGGTGAGAATTAATCTTATACCTACTCTCATGAAACTTAACACCCTAAACACTAGATTGTACCCTATTTTTAATTTAATTATTTTTTTTAATTGGATAATACAATCTATAGTCTAATTAGTTAATTTGCAATAAATTAGGGTAAAATTGATTAACTAAAAAAAATAAGGTAAAATTGACAATGCATATAAAGTTTTGTGTAGATCGACCAATTTTTCTCAAATCCAAGGAACACAATTATAAAAAATTTTCTCTCTCGTCTTCTTCCTCATGCCGGAGAAGAGCGGCGACGGAGATTTTAGATCTCTTAAATAATTGAATCTGATTATTCCTGGTAAAAAGTAATTAAAACGAAAATTTAACTGAGACTTAATCCGAAAAACTTTGAACAAAACCGCCATAAATTTTGTGACGTTGTTGATTGGAGGGAAACCCTAGAACTTGTTTTGCCATGGATATACGATTCCCGTACTCGCCGGCGGAGGTGGTAAAAGTCCGGCGGGTTCAGTTCGGCGTACTCAGTCCGGATGAAATCCGGCAGATGTCGGTGGTGCATATTGATCATAGTGAGACGACGGAGAGGGGAAAGCCCAAACCCGGCGGTCTAAGTGATCCGAGATTGGGGACGATTGATCGGAAATTGAAGTGTGAAACCTGTACGGCGAATATGGCAGAATGCCCCGGCACTTTAGGCACCTTGAACTTGCAAAGCCGATGTTCCACATTGGTTTCATCAAGACTGTGCTCAGTATTATGCGTTGCGTTTGCTTCAATTGCTCCAAGATATTGGCTGATAGGAGGATCCTAAGTTTAAACAGGCCAGGAGAATTAGGAATCCCAAGAATCGACTCAAGAAGATCTTGGAAGCCTGTAAGACCAAGAGTAAGTGTGCCGGACGGGACGAAATAGAACTTGATGGGCAAGGTGAAGATGATTCTGATGAATTATTATCAGAGAAGAAGCCGCCGAGGAGTGGTTGTGGTGCTTTGCAACCCAGTATTTCGATTTATGGTATGAAAATGGTTGCTGAGTTCAGGGTTCAGAAGAAGAAGAAGAACAATGATGATCAAGATCAATTGCCTGAACCTGTTGAGCGAAAACAGGAGCTTTCTGCTGAGAAGGTTCTTGGTGTCCTGAAGAGAATCAGTGATGAGGATTGTGAATTGTTAGGATTCAGCCCGAAATATAGTCGACCTGATTGGATGATCTTCAAGTTCTTCCAATTCCTCCAACTCCAGTTAGACCTTCTGTGATGGCAGACACTTCTTTGAGGAGTGAGGACGATTTGACTCATCAACTGGCTATGATAATCCGGCACAATGAGAATCTGAAGAGGCAGGAAATCAGAGGAGCTCCTCCTCATGTTATCTCAGAATTTGCTTAGTTGTTACAGTTCCATATAGCCACATACTTTGACAAGGAACTTCCAGGGCTCCCCAGAGCTACACAGAAATATGGTAGACCTATCAAATCAATATGTAGCAGATTGAAAGGAAAAGAGGGTCGTGCTAGAGGTAATTTGATGGGGAAATGGGTCGATTTCTCTGCTCGGACTGTGATCACCCCTGATCCAACCATCAACATTGATGAACTTGGGGTACCTTGGAGCATTGCTCTGAACCTTACTTACCCAGAAACGGTGACTCCATTCAACATTGACAAACTGAAGGAAGCTGCAAAGTATGGACCAAATCCGCCACCAGCGAAAACCGGTGCTAAATACATCATAAGGGATGACGGACAGAGGCTTGATCTCCGATACCTGAAAGATCCACATTTAGAAGTAGGATATAAGGTTGAGAGGCACTTGGTTGATGGTGATTTAGTGCTCTTTAATCGGCAACCCAGTCTGTATAAAATGTCCATCATGGGGCATAGGACCTAGATCATGCCGTATTCCACTTTCCAGCTAACCCTCTCTGTTACTTCGCCGTTCAATTCTGATTTCGACGGCGACGAGATGAACATGCACGTTCCACAGGAGCTGAAGTTTCAGAACTTATGATGGTTCCCAAATGTATTGTGTCACCTCAATCAAATAAGCCGGTTATGGGGATTGTTCAGGATACCCTTCTCGGAAGCCATTTAATAACCAAGAGAGATAATTTTATCGAAAAGGTACGGCATCATTCCAAGCTCACTCTTTTAAGTTCATGTTGATGGACTTTCTTTCAAATTTTAGTTCTTAAATTAGTACTCTTTTCGCTCCATAGTTTTCTTTTTCTCCTGTTTTTTCTTTGACTTTCTTCTCCTTTTCTTTTTCTTCCACACCGCTTACCTCTTTCTCTCGTTCTCTCTATTCTAAAAAAGAAACAGGAGAGTAAAAAGTCCACCATAACCTGCCACCAACAACCATGAAGCACCACCAGCTTCACCTAATTCAGCCCCCATTTTGTTTCCCCCAAATCATCTCAACCACTGTCATCACTTTCCCTTTACTCATGTAATTTTTTACTACATTCAATTTTGCCACCAATTGAATTACTTGTTGAATGTTCAATGGCCAATGCTGGTCCTGCACCTACTAAAGAGTAAATGTGTCCATCCTTGGTGATTTTGTTCTAACCAATTCTAGATTGACCTCCTTAGATTTGAAGTTTCTTGGGGGGTTTTTAAGTACATTTGATTGATGATTGATGAATTTTGTTCGCCATTGATATGATTATATTTTACCTATTTATTATATCCCTAATTTGTGATTTTTGCAATATATTTTGAGTACAAATATGCTATTTATATAATTTTATATTTGATTGTAGGAATTGTACTCAAATGGAGGAATTGTTGAAATTTTGGGCTGAAATGAAGATAAAAGCAACTCAAAGGAAGAAATTGAAACACTTGAAGAGTTGGAGGACTTTTAATTTAAATTGGTTTGAAAAAGAAAAAACTTTCTTATTCCTGAACAAATAAGATTTGAGAAAAGCCTATAAAAAGAGGATTAGGGTTTTATTTTTGGAGACAAGAAACTTAACCAAAAAAAAACCACGCAGCCTGCACTACCACCGAACCTCCACCTTGCTCCCTCCAACTCCACGCCCTTTTTCCACCATATTCACCACCTTGCCTTCTCTCCTCCTTGCCGCTCCACCTTCCAACTCCACGCACCAAAACACCTTCTCCTGCCACACTTTCTCCACACACCAAATCAGCCCTTCCCACACCTTCACCATTAAAAAAAAACCCACGCAGCACCATCAGCCCCTCATCACCTACGCACCATCATCGGAGGAAGCAAGTAGCAATGCATCAATTTCCGGACTCAACTTTTGGCCTTCTTCTCCCGGGTTTCATTGTTTTATTTATTTTTGAGATGATGTGTAGCTACATTATTTAATCTAGAGTTTAGAATGTAGCCGTTGTACTATTTAATTTAATTTAATTTAATTCATGATTGTGACTTTTTCATTAGTTGATATTTAATATTCTTGTTTTTATTCCATGTGAGTATTTGATCACCACTTGCATGCTTTAAAGGTGTTTAACGGAAGAAACGACGGTTGAAGGTTAACATTAGTTCATGGAAATATTAACCTTAGGTAGTGAGCCATGACAGTAGGAACACCGCCTTTGTAGCTAGAGATTCTAAAGTTCTTAATATGCTTTTATTAATCCCTATAATCACGACAGTAGTCATAGGGTTAGTTTGAGCAAGAGAATTATATCACGACAGTAAATAGTTCTTAAATAAGTGAATCGTTGTGAGATTAATAAAAGTCCAAAGTCACATATGTATAAGTTGAGTTAAACTGAGTAGTCGGTAGGTGAACCCTTTGCCCTAGGTTTTCTTTTATTTGTGTAAAATCTTAAATTAATTGTAATTGTTAGTTTTAGGTTTAGATTAGTTTAAATTGATAAATTGTTAATCTAAATAATAATAAGAAATAATTTTAACCGGTACTTGGTAACCTTCTCTGTGGGATCGACCCTGCTTTCTGCTTTACTGCTAGTAATTGTATTAAGTAGGTAATTAATTATTTGACTAGTGTGACGACAGCTTGTCAAATTTGGTGTCGTTGCCGGGGAGGGCATAACCAATATCAAAAAACTAGATTATTTCTTTTATTAATTTAGATTTGTATAGTTTTCTTTTATTTTATTAATTTATTATTTTATTTCTATTTTTAGTTTTATTCTCTTTTCTTTCTTGTGTCAATATTTTTGTAGGATATTTGAGCTATTATGGAGAATTTTAACTATGGATATGGAGAGACTCCGTATTATGGTTATGATTCTGAATATGGAGACTATCTATATATCAAGAAGATCCGTACTCTTGGAACAATTCATCTTCTGATCCTTACTATGGTTGTGATTATCAAGGGTATTCATTTGATGCTGGGTACAATTCTGGTTTTGAGAGCGCGTATATGACTCTTAGGATGTTGTCATGTTTGGAGAGAATTGATAATTGCTGGATGATATCGAGAAGAAAAATGCTTCATATTTCTCTCAAGAGGATTTTTACCACTCAAATGCATCAGTATATCAACCACCACCTCCTCAACCCACTCTAAGAGAGTTAGCAGCTCGTCAACCTACTCTAAAAGAGTTAGCAGCTCGTCAACCTACTCTGAGAGAGCTACCAGCCTTACAGTCATCACCTTGTCAACCCACTTTGAGATAGTTAGGATCTTCGTATCAACAGCCACCTGCTCAACCTCAACTTAATGTTAGAAAGGCAGCTCTTCGAGATTTTCAAAGTGAAAAAGGCCAACAACTTATCAAAGAGGTCAACCAATATAGGTTGAGTGTAGGGCTGCCGGAATATGATCCTATAGGAAATTTGCTTAAATTGAATAAGAATGAGAAGATTTCTGAAGATGATTCATTGGTCCAGTCTCCCCATCCACCAACAACATATCAAAGAGGTCAACCAATATAGGTTGAGTGTAGGGTTGCCGGAATATGATCCTATAGGAAATTTGCTTAAATTGAATAAGAATGAGAAGATTTCTGAAGATGATTCATTGGTCCAGTCTCCCCATCCACCATCTCAAACTGAGCTTGAATGTGAAGAAGTAGAAGAGACCGAAGAGATTAACAGTCAAGATATTCCAAGTTCTCCTGATTCTTCTGGTATATACATAGTAGTTAAGCATGATTCGCTCATTCTGAGAGGTGGTGACAAAAATATGGATCAAGTTGATTTTGATGAGAATAACATTCCTATAGTTTCAAAAGAATGGTTTAAAGTAGACACATGTGGTGAGGTTGTCCCTAGTATAAGAGATTTTGAGGATGATGTGAAAGATGGTTCAATAAAAGACCAAGAAGAGGATCAATGGTACAAGATTGAATTTGAGAAAGAGGATGTTGTAGTGTTGGAGTATAAGTTTATATTTTCTCATGGAAAGGAGAACCACTACAAGAGATTCATTGTTGCTGCTGAACTTGGTTTCTTCTGGTATCGAGATGGGTACTCTGACAGATCAGTCCTAGAGTCCGGCTAAAGACTTTAAAACAGCGCTTATTGGGAGGCAACCCAACATTTTATTTTGCTTTATTTTATTTTATTTTTCATGAATAAGTGATGGTTGAGTTTTTTGTTCCTGATTATTTGGAAATCTTTGATTTCTAAATTTTCGTGGTTTTTCTTAATCATCTACCTAATAAATTTACCTTTGTTTTTGTTTATGTGTGGCAGCTACTCTCTAGAATAAATGGTGATGGAAAATACTTGGATGGCAGTTGCAACAGTTTATTCAACAATTCCGGTCCTCCGCTTCACATTCCCAAGGTTGTGTCGTTTCTTTTCATTCTTTTTGTTTATGTCTTTTCTTTTCTTTACACTTGGTTGTTTGTCTTTTGTGTTTTATATATATTGAGGGAAATGTATGCTTTAAGTGTGGGGGAGAGGAGTATATGTGTTTTGTGTTTAGTGTTTTGTGTTTATTTTCATTAAAATAAAAATTGAAAAAATTAAAAAATCCAAAAAGGCCTATGATGAAGTTGGTTTAATTATCTATAGCAGGTAAGAATTAGACTATTTTGAATTGTATTGCTTAGCTTCTACATTTCTATATGTTGCTTTGAATATCCTGCTTTATATGCACTTAGTCGTGACTGTGGGATGAGCTTAAAGTGAGATATAGTTGCATGAGTTTGATGTAGATATGCCATGAAAAGTTGTGTTTGATTCACTTAGACTTATATGATTTGTATGTGGAACCCATCATGTTGTGAAGGAAAAGTAAGGCATTAACCCAATATCAGCCTTAAAAAACCTTCTTGTTTTGACACTTTGTGTTAAGTAAGTTTGGGAGAGGGGTGTTGGGGGATGTTTCTGAGGTTAGGTTAAATTTAATGAGGGAGAAAAGGAAGAGCATTCAATGTTGATGCTAGCCCATTGAGAGGTGAGGAATTGGCAACCTGAGCGGAGAGTTCTCAGGCCCGGTGAGGAAAAATAGATATGTAGACTGCCCTAAGTTACTGAGACACTATGTATAGGAGTGAAAAAATGCTCTGGGTAGTGGCCTAAGTTGGAAAGAGTCCTGAAGAAAAGCCGCATGGACCGAAGAATGGGTTACGAGGGGGAATAGGTTGTCTGTGAGATAAGTCCTTCTACTTCATAGTATGTTTGGTGGTCCATTGCATTGAAATATGGTGTGAAATGTGAATCTGTGTTAAAGTGTTAATATATGGCATATTTACAGTAGAGCTTTTGTTTTCTATGTTAAATGTAAAGTGATGTCCCTAAGAAACGAATCACACACACACACAAAAGCATGGGGACTAAAAGTAGCTATAATTTGCATATTGTTGGGTAGTCCATACTAGAGTTAGTCGAGGTCTTTGTGTTATATGATGATTGAATCTCTGAGGCCGCCAAAATTAAATAATTAACTGTTTTTATTTGTTTTAATCTTTGGAAATACTTGAGGACAAGCAATAATTCAAATTTGGGGGTATTTGATATGCTTATATTTTACCTATTTATTATATCCTTAATTTGTGATTTTTGCAATATATTTTGAGTACAAATATGCTATTTATATGATTTTATATTTGATTGTAGGAATTACACTTAAATGCAGGAATTGTTGAAATTTTGGGCTAAGGAAGAAATTGAAGCACTTGAAGAGTTGGAGGAGTTTTAATTTAAATTGACTTGAAAAAAAAAATAACTTTCTTATTCCTGAAGAAATAGGGTTTGAGAAAAGTCTATAAAAAGAGGACTAGGGTTTTATTTTTGGAGACAGGAGACTTAACCAAAAAAAAACCATGCAGCCCGCACTACCACTAAACCTCCACCTTGTTCCTTCCAACTCCACGCCCTTTTTCCACCATATTCATCACCTTGCCTTCTCTCCTCCTTGCCGCTCCACCTTCCAACTCCACGCACCAAAACACCCTCTCCTCCCACACTTTCTCCACGCACCAAATCAGCCCGTCCCACACCTTCACCATTAAAAAAAAACCCACGCAGCACCATCAGCCCCTTATCACCTACGCACCATCATCGGAGGAAGCAAGTAGCAACGCATCAATTTCCGGACTCAACTTTTGGCCTTCTTCCCTCGGAATTCATTGTTTTATTTATTTTTGAGATAATGTGTAGCTAAATTATTTAATCTAGGGTTTTGGATGTAGCCACCATACTATTTAATTTAATTTAATTCATGATTGTGACTTTTTCATTAGTTGATATTTAATATTTTTGTTTTTATTCCATGTGAGTATTTGATCACCACTTGCATGCTTTAAAGGTGTTTAACTGAAGGAACGACGGTTGAAGGTTAACATTAGTTCATGGGAATATTAACCTTAGGTAGTGAGCCATGACAGTAGGAATACCGCCTTTGCAGCTAGAGATTCTAAAGATCTTAATGTGCTTTTATTAATCCTTATAGTCACGACAGTAGTCATAGGGTTAGTTTGAGTAAGAGAATTATATTACGACAGTGAATAGTTCTTAAATAGGTGAATCGTTGTGAGATTAATAAAAGTCCAAAGTCACATATGTATAAGTTGAGTTAAACTGAGTAGTCGGTAGGTGAACCCTTGCCTTAGGTTTTCTTTTATTTGTGTAAAATCTTAAATTAATTGTAATTGTTAGTTTTAGGTTTAGATTAGTTTAAATTGATAAATTGTTAATCTAAGTAATAATAAGAAATTATTTTAACCAGTACTTGGTAACCTTCTCTGTGGGATCGACTCTGCTTTCTGCTTTACTGCTAGTAATTATATTAAGTAGGTAATTAATTATTTGACTAGTGTGACGACGGCTTGTCAGGTCAAGCTCTCAAAGCTTCCTTTTACATGGCTATTAGTAACAAAATCTTAATTTCCTTTTTTTTTTCTGGGGGTTTTGTGGAGTTGAGTATAGATTTATTGAATTTTAGTTGCATGCTTCGAGTTGTCATGTTCGGTATCTCTGATTAGTTGGCTGAAAACTCATAAAGAGGATAATTGAATAAGGGTTCAGGAAAATGCTTTATGCCTCTAGACATAGATCCTAAAATGTGGTAGTTATGTATTTGATTTTTTTTAACGAGATTATTGCGCTTTGTCGAATCCGGTTAAACTAGATGGCTGTTGGTTTGTTTTTTTCCCCCTTTTTAAATGAAGAAGAAGAAAGAAACTTTATGCCCTCGGGTCTTAGTTTAGGAAGGTTATTCTCTGATATGTTTGGTCTAACAAAACTAGATTAATGTTTGCAAATATTGGGGGAAAAAATAGATATATCCCTGCTGACAATGAGTAAATAGATGGATAGGATATGGCTTTTTTAGTTTTTTTACCCCTTGTAACATTTTAATCCTATAAATCTTTGTTTGGTTTTGAACATGTATCTCTGGTTCCTGCACATAGCCTTATGCGATTGTGATTCATAATGGGTGCTACTTTTTGTTAAAAAGTATTTTAATTTAAGTCAGATGATATATATCTTTATCTGGTTTGAGAAAGCTACGGACAGTTTCCAAAAAAAGAAAGCTACGGACAATTTATTGTTAACATGTTAAGTTACTTTCCTTTTTTTCCCCTTTTTTTTTCCATTTGAGTTTGTTATTACACCCCTGGGCTATTTTTCAGGCATAATTGATAGGTGCTGTTGCAGCTGTTCATGTCTACATCTGTTCATTTTCTGCCTTATTTTTTGTACAAAATTTGCATTGACAAGTATACATAAGATAGGGGCAAAATCATGATCCTGCTTCTGTTGTAAAGTTGCAAATAGTTGTCTGATTTTATTGATGTTATTTGGTTACATAACATCTGTGTGGCTCCTGTAGAAAATAATTCAAAAATTAGTAGCTTAATGGTTTTTTGCAGTACCATTAGTTTTATATTTCCCTCCAGTTAGGGACCAAAATTATAGCATTCGTGACTAGATTTGAAAAGAGAGTTTTGTGCCTTCTTTTTTTTTTTTTTTAAAGTTATTTGCAGTATCAGTCACTAGATCTGTTTTCTTATGGTACAGGATGTATTCATGAACATTTTGATGTGGTGGGAAGATTTTGATGGAAAGGTACCAGCTCCAACCATTTTGAAGCCAAAGCCTCTTTGGACAGGGAAGCAAGTTTTTAATCTTATTATATCTAGACAGATAAATCTCCAAAAAAGAGCAGCAGATGATGATAAAGGACCGCTTACTCCTGGAGACACTCGAGTTTGCATTGAGAAAGGGGAGTTACTTTCTGGTACCTTATGCAAGAAGACCCTCGGACCTTGTGTTGGAAGTCTCATTCATATTATCTGGGAAGAAGTTGGTCCTGATGCGGCTCAGAAATTTCTTGGACTCACGCAGTGGCTTGTTAACTACTGGATTTTGCAGAATGGCTTTAGTGTTGGAATTGGGGATACTATTGGTGACGCTGATACAATGGAAAAAATTAATATACGTATCTCAGAAGCAAAGAATAAAGTGAAAGAACTCATCAAGAAAGCTCAGGAAAAGAATCTGGAGCCTGAACCTGGTCGAACTAGGATGGAATCATTTGAAAATCAAGTAAATAAGGTAAATATCTCAAATCTTTTACACCTAATTTTTCTCTAAACTGTTTGCAAGTTAGAAGTCGTTTTTTCTATGTGTGTTTGTTATACGTGATGATGCTGGAAGCAGTGCCCAGAAAAGTTTATCAGAAAGTAACAATCTTAAGGCAATGGTTACAGCTAGATCGAAGGAAAGTTTCGTCAATATCTCTCAAATGACTGCTTGCGTGGGGCAGCGGAATGTTGAGGGTAAGCGAATTCCCTTTGGATTCGTTGATAGGACCCTGCCTCATTTTACCAAGGATGATTTTGGACCAGAAAGCCGTGGTTTTGTGGAGAACTCATATTTACGTGGGTTGACACCACAGGAGTTCTTCTTCCATGCTATGGGTGGTAGGGAATGTATTATTGATACTGCTGTTAAAACTTCTGAGACGGGTTACATCCAAAGGCAATTAATGAAGGCCATGGAGGATATCATGGTCAAGTATGATGGTACTGTTAGGAATTCCCTTGGAGATGTGATTCGGTTTCTCTATGGCGAAGACGGCATGGATTCTGTATGGGTTGAATCACAAAAGCTGGAATCTCTAAATGTCAAAAAGCCTGATTTTGATTCCCGGTTTAAATTTGAACTTGATGACAAAGATTGGGATCCCGATTATATGTTTCCAGAAAAAGTTGAGGTCCTAAAACTAAACGATTTGGAAATCCGGAAGTTCAGAAACTTGAAACCGACAGGCTCCAACTGGCAACAGAGATTGCTACTTCAGGTGATGATATATGGCCTCTACCGGTGAATATCAAGAGGCTTATTTTAAATGCACAGAAGATCTTTAAAAGTGACTTCCGAAGGCCCTCAGACATGAACCCAATAGAGGTTGTTGATGCTGTTGATAAATTGCAAGAAAGGCTTACGGTTGTACATGGTGATGATTATCTTAGTAAGGAAGCACAAAAGAATGCTACTGATTTCTTCAATATATTACTTCGTAGTGCCTTGGCTAGTAAAAGGGTTTTGAATGAGTATAGACTTACGAAGGAAGCATTCCATTGGGTTATTGGTGAAATAGAATCGCAGTTTTCCCAGTCACACGTCGCTCCAGGGGAAATGATTGGCTGTATTGCAGCTCAATCTAGGTGAGCCACCCAGATGACTCTTAATGCTTTCCATTACGCTGGTGTGAATGCAAAAAATGTCACTCTTGGTGTCCCTAGGTTGAAAGAAATTATCAATGTTGCAAAGAATATAAAAACACCTTCCCTCTCTATATATCTGAAGCCTATTCCGGGAATTACAGATGACTTTGCAAAATCAGATGAGACCAGAAAGAAGAAAGCAAAAGGTGTTCAATGTCCTTTGGAATACACTACTTTGCAGAGCGTCACACAAGCCGCAGAAGTTTGGTACGATCCATATCCCCTGAGTACCATAATCCGGAAAATGATAAATTTGTCCAGTTATATTATGAGATGCCAGATGAGGAGACTGATCCTGATAAGATCTCTCCTTGGTTGCTCCGTATAGAGTTAGATCGGACAATGTTGCTGGATAAGAACTTAATGACTGACATTGCCGCAAAGATTGAACTCGAGTTTGGTGGTGATCTTATTTGCATATTCAATGATGATAATGCTGATAAGTTGATCTTACGCATTCGTATCATGAATGATGAAGCTGCTAAGGGTGAATCAAACAACGAATCTGGTGAGGATGATGTCTTCCTGAAAAAGATAGAGAACAACATGCTCACTCAAATAGCACTTCGGGGCATCCCGGGTATTAATAAAGTATTCCTGAAGCATATTAAACCGAACAAGTTTAATGAGGAAGAAGGAGGATTTAAGGCCAGAATTGAGTGGATGTTGGATACTGAAGGAGTTAATCTTCTGGCAGCTATGTGTCTTGAAGATGTTGATGGGAGGAGGACCACCAGCAATAACTTGATTGAAGTTATTGAAGTTCTTGGAATTGAGGCAGTTCGCAAGACATTGCTGGATGAGTTGCGTGTTGTGATATCATTTGATGGATCCTATGTGAACTATCGACATCTTGCAATATTGTGAGATACCATGACATACCGTGGTCACTTGATGGCGATCATTCGCCATGGAGTCAATCGTAATGATACTGGTCCATTAATGAGGTGCTCATTCGAGGAAACTGTGGACATACTCCTCGATGCTGCTGTTTATGCAGAGAATGATTCTGTCAAAGGTGTTACTGAAAATATTATGTTAGGTCAGCTTGCACCCATTGGCACTGGAGACTGCGCCTTGCTTCTGAATGAGGAGAAGTTGAAGCAAGCCATTGAGATCAATCTTCCTAGTTGTATGGAGGATGATATTACAGGCGTGATACCTGGTCGTTCACCTGTCATTGCATCTCCATATCTTCATGATCTGACGTCTCCAATTATGAGCCCATATTGTACCAGATCACCTGCTACTGGCTTTGAGCAGTTCTCCCCTATCACCAGCGGACTTTCCTTTTCCCCAACTTCAACTGTTTTCAGCCCTCCCCTCCTATATACAGTCCATTATCCCCTGATTACAGCCCTCCAAACTACACTCCCACTTCTCTTGCATCCCAGCCGTACAGTCCAACCTCTCCGATCTATAGTCCAACCTCCCCAGCATACACTCCCATCAGTACTGCGTATTCTCCCACATCTCCAGGCTATAGCCCCTCATTTCTGACCTTTAATCCTAGCTCTGTAGGATACACCCTAACCAATACTGGGTATTCTCCCACATCTCCAACTTACCGTCTCACATCTCAAACCGCATACAGCCCAACATCACCTTTCTATAGCCCTACTTCACTGTCTTACAGTCCCACATCTCTCTCTTATAGTCCCACCTCGCAAACTCATAGCCCAACCTCCCCGGGTTATAGTCCTACCTCGCCAAGTTATAGCCCTACCCCCCCAAGTTACAGTCCTAGCTCTCCTAGTTATAATCCCTCCTCTGTTAGATACAGCCCTTCACTTGCATATTCTCCAACTAGTCCCAAGCTGTCATATTCAAGTCCATCATACAGCCCTGCTTCTCCAAGTTACAGGTAGACAAATATTTTTCATTTTCGTACAATGTCTATTTCTTCTCTTTTATTTCTATTAGACAGTTGCTTGCAGTTGCCATTTTTTTGCTTCTGCAGCCCAACATCCCCATCATACTCGCCAACGTCTCCATCATATTCTCCTTCCAGTCCAACTTACAGTACCAGCAGGTAAAAGTTCATGGCAGTATCAGTAAACCTTTCACAAACTGTTTTTAGTCTCATTTACTGCAATTTTAAAGTTCTGTCGACTTCATCTGGTTTCCTTTGCACTTTTGCAGTCCATACTACTATGTTGGTGAGCCAGGTTACAGTCCAAGCTCTCCCCAGTACATTCCAAGTAGTGGATATTCACCAAGTGCATCTGGAGGTTATTCTCCGCCATCAGCAATGCAGTACACTTTCGGCCGAACCAACGACAAAGATGAGAAGAAAAAGCTGTAGAGAATCTAGTGAAGCTTATAAATATTTGCTACCTTTTTAGTTGTACATATACTCGGTGTTGGAGATGAACAAATTCTTATATATGACTTTTGGTACTAAAAAGAAGGAAAACAAAACTGGAATGGAAAATGCATTATCTGGTTCATCTAAGCCACAGTCGCACGTACTATTGAGTAGTATGTACATTTGGCATTAAAAGAAACTGGGTTACATCAAAATAAGGAAATCCAGTATTTATATCCTAGCTTTGAGATTGAATACAGTGTCCTTCGACCACATTACAAAACTGGTTAATGGTGTTTACAATGTTCCCAAGGCAATCAATGATCTTGTCACATTGGTGCCGGACCAAATCAGACTCAACGGCCTCCCTATTTCTCAGATCGCCCAACTTGTAATCGACTTCTTCCTCGGCTTGGCTTCCACTGAGGATGGCATTAATCAGTTGTGCATTTTCCAACAGTTTTGCAGTCATCTCTTTTTCAAAATCTTTACTGATACCACCATCCGGTTTCACATTAGGAACTATGCCTGTTTTTTGACGTTCTAGAATTTCATTCGTGGTGGATGGCTCAGGTTTCACAGCTGTATTTGTGATCTGCCCAACTCCTACACTTCTCAGTGAATCCTCTGGACCTCGATTCAAGCTGGATGGTTCAGGTTTAATAATTCCACCTAAGATATGTCTCCAAGGATGGAACCTTTCTGCCATGTTGCTTTTACAAGGAATTCTCTTCTTCCTCTGTTTCTTGGGGCCAGTTTGCAGAAACATTCTCTTAGTCCTCGCTTGCGCTTCAGGATCACTATCTGGGTCAGTTTCTGGAGCAGTAGCATCTCCTTTTTGTGTAAAATATCTACTTATCGCCTTAAACAATTCCTTGTCAAATTCCTCCGGGAATCCCATATCTTTCCTTTTGCTAGAATCAAATGACCAATATGTTCCTTCACTCGCCTTGATTTTCTCGTACTCATTTCGTAAAGCATCCCATTTCCTTTTACATTGATTAAGACTCCGTTGTATACCCAAGGAACTGCAATTCTCCACTACAAGTTGCCACTTCTGGAATGAAGCTAGTGAGTTTCTCCACTCTCCTTCAACCGAATTGATTTCATTCACCAGAGATAAACACTCTCCGGAAGTCCAATCTGGAGCCGCCTGGCAACGTGTGTGCCGCCTTTGCCTTTCCATAATCAGATTGTCACAATCTAATTGGTTCAGGTTCTAGGATGCCTGAGACCTGTACAAATAAAATAGTGTTAGTTCAGTAAATTAGCATGAATGTGTCCTCAAAAGCAAAATAGGCGCCCAAATATTAACACATTCATGAATCCTGACATTTGAAGTAACCAATTATTACCCTTAAAATGCATTACAGTAGATTTTATGTAATATTTAGCACTCAAAAGAAAAGGGGAGAGAGAGAGAGAGAGAGAGAGAAGAAGAAGAAGAAGAAGATGATGAAATGAAGTAACATTTATCACTCTTCTCCATCAGTCCCAACTTTCCCAATGGCCAAAAGCCCTTTCTTTACACATATTGAGCAATCACAAACTCATTCAGAATATGTCCTTGCCGCAGGATTGAGACAGAATGTGTCTAAAACGATAAACCGCAGGAATACGCCTTACGGCATTTTGACTTGCACCTTGAATAGTAAGTGTGAAGCATTGTCCTTGTTGATCAATCAGTTTGACAAGCAAGAAACAACTTGTTTTGGCTTTGGAAAGAAGTTCAAATTGGAAAACTTTCGACAGATTTTCAAATACAAAGATAAAGAGTCAAAAACAGAAATTTGTATAAGGAAAAAGAAAATAAGAAGCTCATACTTATACAAGTATTTCGCTGAAAAGAGATGAAAGAGAAAGGATAAAACTGCCCATAATAATACAAACCAAATGAAGATAAACTTTCTATCCCCATTTTAATAATACAACCAACAAAGTTAACAGAAACGTTACAGTATTACTATTAAATTCTTGCTCCTAAGTTCTATGAAAATCTTAGAAATTGTTCTATAGATATCAATTTCTCAAGTACTAATCTCTGATGCTGCTGATCTAGCTTTTTTTTTCCCAAATAAAATGAAACTCAGAAACTCATAGAATTCTGACTCTTTTCCGAAGTATGTTTTTGAAATAACGGGGGCTCCGTTTCACAACCACTATATATTTACACAACCTTTTCTCAGTATATAAGGGTTTCAAGAAAAGAAAACATTTTTAAAGGCTTTTAAATGATGAATAAAATACAGTCGATCAAAGACAGTCTATTATTATAGAAGAAATGAAAATTTCAGGAAGCTTCTGATGGGAAGGCCACTTTAAACACTATTTTGGACTAATTACAGGTTGGAGGGTCCGATATATACCCTATCAACTGTGGAAGAAATTCAATAACTGAAATTGATCAAAGCTTTCAAATGATGATGAACTATTCGACTAAAATCTGTAGTTCGAATCTTTAGTTCTGAAAAATTCAGCCAAAAAAAAAAAATTGATAACGGTGGCATATTGGAAGCACCTTTTTTTATCAAATCAAATATCCAATTTGTGAGGTATCAAAACGAGTCTAAACCAGGATAAACAAAGCACAGTTTTATCAGAAGAAATCAGGAAAAATGGTTAAACAGTAGGAGAGAACTGTTCCTCAAAACAGCATCCCAGAGCAAATTTTTCAAAATTTTCAGATTCATTCTGTCAAGTTGAAATCCAATTTCTGAGCAAACTATAGCTCTGTTTAGTAGTCTGTAAAAACGGAAATAAACTTTATCAAACGTAGAAAGGGTTTATGGGAAGAAACCTCATAAAACAGTTAAGAATAAGGAAAAACAAATCTCAAAAAAAATAGCAGTTCAAGAAAAGTTTTAGAGATTTCAGATATTCAGGAAGTAATAGATCATGTTCAAATCACTATCTGAAACATCCCAAGATCCAATTTACCAGATATAAACACTGACAGAAACCCCTCAATGAGTGTACAAGAATCCTAGAAAAGAAATCGTGCACGAAGGTTTTCAAAATAACTAAATGTGAACACTTGAAACTCAACCTATCAATCAGTAAATTTTGAATGTTGCAGAAAATTCATAATGTCGCCTTCTTTAAATTTGGATTTTGAACTGACTAGGAATCCACTTCGTAAGCCGTAAAAACAGGCAAAAACATTGTCAAGCAAAGAAAAGGTTCATGAAGAGAAATCAACTCAGAAGGTTTTATAGAGATGCTAAATAAACATTCAAACAGTAGGGTGTCATTCCAGAATTTTCAGAAAAATCAGGTTTAACATGTCAACTTTGAAACCTCTTTTAGAAACAACTGAAATCCATTTAACGATCCGTAAATCTTGACATAAACTAGGACAGACAAGACGATAATCAGTATGGAAAATTCTGCAAAACATCACTGCAAGACTTGAAAATCAGACTGCACAAAAGTGTGCCTCAAAACCGAATTTGCCAAAACCGAAATATGACATTGTTAATTTAAATTTTACAAAGTCAGATCTTGCATCATCACTATTTGCCCCAAATAGACCATCCTAAAACTCTAATATGTCATCAGATACTCTACTCCCAAAGGCTTGTACATCTTATGTATTACACTCGATGGGTTGTATCTTTAAGCCCAAAACACGAATCACAAATGGTTATATTCCACAATCTACTTCATATATCCTGCATTCTAATTCCAGGGTGAAGCTCATCTGACTATTCCCAAAATGGATCATATTCCTATGCTCCGATAGACTGATACTACCTGTAACGACCCGGCCAAACCCCTATTTTTAATGACAACAAAATGGGGTATGGCCGAGTGTTAAGCTAACAGTAAAGAAATTCGTTTCTCCACTAAGAGTACAATACAAAACGAAAATTCAACAATGAACACTGATTCTATCTCAACATCTAGCAAGTTAAAACTCTAAAGCCTACCTCAAAGAATAACTTTTACAGGTTTCCTAGATATTCCAAGAATTCTGCTTCTAGACTACACACCATAGCTCAATAGTAGGCCAACGACACATAATTTCAATCTCCCTAACTTATACACAACCTAAACAGCTACAGTAACTTCTACTATCTCTTGATATAACTTGAGCTTGAGGTCCAACTAATAATCAAAGACAGACATAAAGCCCTTACCAACTACTTTACCTGAAAAATGGTTTTAAAAATAATAGGGGTCAGCTATATTGAATATAGCCCGTCAGTGTCCTCAGTTTTGCAACATTCACGAGAACAATAGTGATTTCTTTAAAAAAAAAAAATGATTGATGGCTACCATTCAAAAGAACTGATTAGGTCAAAACGAGTATGGAGCTATTTTAAATGGCGAAAACAAAGCATTGGAAAGGATCAGTGGTTAAGTTCAAAACAATATAAGCTCACATCTTCACAAATCTATCATCTCCAAACCTTCCAACGTGACAACGTTTGACCAATATTAACAAAAACCAAACATGAACAAATACCATGAACATATTAATGACAAACACGATATACCGATATATCAACAAACATTCAATTAGTCCATACAATTTGTGAGACATAACTGCTGAGCCAGTTCGATGTTTGGAGTGACCAAAGGTCAATTCAAGGTCCAAACGACTCAGGAAGTCAGCTTTGAGCCAAGTCAATGTTCGGGGTGCCAAAAGGCAATTCAATGCCCGAAACGACTCTCGAAGGTTTTCGATAGAAGACAATGTTCAAGCTAGTCAATCAAGCCCGAGTTTCAAGCACGCAATCGAGAATATGGTCAAACATTCGCTGGTCATAGCAGGCTTAACTCATTTTGATAAAATTATTTATAAAAGAAAGAAGCTTGAAAATTAAAAGTAGACAGTGACAATAGGAAAACATAGCTCATCAAAGAGCACTTAACCTTGTTCAACAAAACATTTCAGAAAGGAAGAAACTTGAGGTAAAAACAAACAGTGATATTTAAGGAGCTCAAATGACTTCCAAGCATTGACACTTCACACTGCTTTCCCAGGTTCCAGGTATTTATTTACTTGCAGTAAAAGTGGTATCAAAAACATTCCAGGGAAGTTGTATACAGGCTGAGCAACCCAGTGGTTTGTCATTAAGTAGTTTACTAACAAAAATATTTATAAACCCATAGAAGGTTTCAAGGCATCCAAACCACTGCAAATAGCCTTCTCCTGGACACTGGGTTCGCATGTGATATTTCAAATATAGCAAATTGAAGTTCCAAACAGTTCATCAGTCAAAAAGGTAGCAAGAATGCTTTTGTAATTATAAAAAAAAATAAAATAAAAAGAGGAACCCTTTTGTAAAAAGGAGTAAAGGGAACACTCTCACCTGGTCGGCAATCGACCCTAGTAAATCGTCCTGAGATTCTTAGTTGTTCGAAGGATCTCTTAGCTCGGGTTCCCGGGTCGTCATCTTCCTCTTTTTTCTCCTTCCCAGGGACTTCAGTTTTGATTGCGGTTAATCGAATCCGAACCTTCGGTGAGTTCTTTTAAGTAACGAAAATGGATTTCTTTGGGTAGCTCAATGTTCTATTAAATTGGATGAGCTAAACCTAAATTTGGTAGCATGAATACTTCAATGGTGGAGTGGAGATTTGATATTTGTTGGCTGATTGAATTGGAATAATTGAGGTGCAGGCTGTTGGGTGGTGTTGAGCTACTGCTTCTAGGATTAAATTACTGTCTTAAAATATTAATGAGTTCTTTTTAACAAAAACTTAGAAGGTGTATATGGTATTCTCTTTCCTCTTTTTCCTAAAGGGCGTGCAAATTCTCTCAATAATTACTTATTTTTTTTCATTTAAATTTACAATTAACTATAAATCAACTTCCAACTGATTTAATCGGTATCGTTCAAAATTGAGTTGTTATTTTACAAAGATTAGTATTATCACCCTTTCATCATTTTTGTTCAAACTCGAATATCTATTGCATATAGTATTATTGTTCCAAAATTAAGCTAAAAATCACAAATACTAGTCTTAATCCTATATATTAAGAAAATAAGCTTTTAGAACACGTGTCACATAATGAGATGTCCAATAAAACCCTCATAAAAATTATATTCAATTAGATATAGTAAATTTTTATTGTAACAACTTAATTTTACTTATTTACGCATACACCTGATTATCTAACCAGGTAAAAAAAACAAAATAGCCCTTTCACTTAATTACATATATGTCTCTACCGTTATAATGCAAATAAACATGGATGAAATTTCAATTTCACAATTGTCCTATCCTTGGCTATTTTAGGTATGTATTGATTATCCCATTTCAAATACCATTTTAAAAAAATCTTATGACCCATAATTCCGTCCAGATTCAAACTACAATTAATGTACCAAAATTTTCAAAATCAGTTTCCCCTACTTACTAAATCATAAAATGGAAATCAAAATAATTAATTGTTATTGGAAGCAAAGATTAGGCGTGATTCGTGCGGCTTATGTGATTCAGGAATTTACGCAACGTAGACGACGCCCAAATCCCAGGCCAATCTTTCCAAAAATTATTCCATGATTACTATTTTTTGGATAATTATTAAATTTTTCCATTCTTACTAAATTAAAAATTTGGACATTCTTACTATATCAAAACTTGAAATCAAATTAAATCTTTATTAATATAATCTAAGCGCGCCAATCATGGCACACAAATTTCACGGTTTGACCACATAAATACCCCCCCTAATCTGAAAAAAAAAATGGTGCATTATCCAAATAAAAAAAATTACGGAACTTTCATTACCTATAAATATTTAGCATATGATTTGAATCAAAACACACACCAAAATACACTCACATCCGTATTGGTTTTGTATATCATGTCTTCCAAATTTAATTTTCTCAACGAGCTCGATAATAGCCGAGGAGTTGGATGAAATGTCTGAATTCGTCTTATACGCGTGTGGACAAAAATGGATTTCAATGATGATAATGAAATCAATCGATGAAAAGGTAAATTTCATTATCATTGAGAGCGTCTTAATCGATGAAAAGGTAAATTGCACCTATTATTAAAAAATATTATATATAATGTATTCATATATACACACCTATCATTATAATTATTTGATTACTAAAATTTTATTTTCTTTGTTGTATTATTATTTCGCAGGGCAATAGGGCCGTTGCTGAAATTAAAAAAGACCTAATATACAAGTTTCAAGATCCCATGAAAGAGGGAGAGTACAAACAAATAAGCCATTTTGGTACGGCTACTGACAAAGAACTCCAAAGATATAGTGATAACAAATACAAAATAATATCAAACGCAGTACCAAGATTGCGACAGTTCCCGAGTTTGTGGATCGTCCTTATATTGGTGAATATGGTTTTCAGTTCCCGAAATTTACTGATATCATAAACAAAAGGGTGAATGAATCTTTACTGATAGGTCCATTGTCATTTCTACATTATATATGACTCCACAAGTATTACTAAATATTTAGACAAATTAATCCAATAATTCTCCTTTTTCCAGATGTAGACAAAAGGCAAAAAATTCATCTAAAAATTATTAAATAAAATTCCTGCTCAAGTATATTGAAATATTTTCACATCCCGGACAACGCACGGTCCACCACTAGTTTATACATAAATTTACAACTAAGAAGTAAATAGAGGGATGCCGTTAGTCGGGCTTTCACAAATCCACATCTTAAAATTTGACTTATGAGATGTATAACCTAAAATTGATTACTAAATAGATAAATAGTCATGAAATTTTATTCAATTTTGCATATTAATTTTTTAATTTGCCAAATTAACTCATCTAATTTTTGTATTTTAGTTTTTCAAATTGGACTATTTTTCTAGGACATAGGTAGTACAATTTTTATTTTTTATCAAGTTACTATAGTAATCATGTAAAAGAAAAGAGTTAAAGAGTTAATTGGAATTCTCTCTTATTATTTATTTTTTGGGAAAAAGCAAATTTAAATAAAATCTCAATGAAACTAAAGTAAATAATAATATGGGAGTAAATACAACTGTTTCTTACTAATTTTTCTTGTAATTTTTTTCATGTATGCATCATTATAGAATTTTTTTTTTTAAAAAAAGGCACCTCTCTCCCTCCATTCTACAATTTTTTGCTCTGGCACTGGTTGGATCCAAGTTGCAACAGCCACATTTGTATAACCGGTTCTTCATCAGCAAACCAACCATCATATGAATATGAATGATATTTCTTAGTACACAAGGTTGAAAAGAGGTAGTTTCGACTTTCGATCATAAAATTTCGAAAAGTAGATCTTGTTGCCCATTTGCGATTCGGATGGGTGCTATTGCCGCAAAGGATACAATTTCGCTAACAAATAAAATTGTATTTTTTAGGTTTTTGACTGCAATCCATATAGTTCGAGAATATTTTAAGAGATTTTTGTATTATCATGATAAATAATCACTGTTAAAATATCTCCATCATCTTCGACTGTTAAAAAACTGTGATTCTCTAATTTCAATTTTGAATCTCGAAGTTTGATCTTTGGAGAATCAGGTTTCCATGTTACATCTAGACATTCCTTTATATCTAATTCTAAGGAGTAGCATTGAATATTGTGGTAAACTAGGGTCTTACAACAAACAAGAAACTCACAAGGGTTTGAGAACAAGAAAAAGTTCCAATTGGGTTTTACCACTTTCAATGTGCCAAATGTGAATTTATCTGGATATTGATCACATTTCCAGAAACAAATTAATCTGAACTCATTGTTGAGAACGGAAAATTAGTTAATGCTATGATATGACATTTAGAGTAAAAAGGGAAAATTTAAATTGAATAATAATTATAAAATGCAAGTAACAAATGTTTCAATGGTTAAAGTTGGGTTCTGGATTAATTTCGTGGCATAGACATACATCATTGGAAACTGATTGATCCTCTGCAAATAGATAATATCTTATTAAACCTAAAATATCCAAAGGTAAAACAGACCGTCTATCGCCTAGCTTTTTCCAATCATCATCTTCAACTCTTGATACAGAAGTTTTCTTTTCTATACCTGATGCACATAATTCCTAAATTAATGCTTTAAATCCTTTGTGATTGGGTTTATAGATGTACTCCTTCTGTCCCAAAATTATTATTCAATTTGAAATTTCACTTTTAGTACAAATATCATATAATTTTCCTCTGAATAGGGTGGAAAAGTTTTTGTATGTTTGCAGAATTAATTCGAAATTCTCTACCAAATATTTGGTGATTTTTTATCTTCCATATTGATACGTTTATTTATTTAATAGGACGTGGAAAGAATTGTCCACCTTGAGTGGACGAACAATTTTTCGTTCGAATGGGATGTCTTATGTTATGGATCAAGCTACAAAATAAAAAAGAATACACTCAAATTGTATTGATTTTATTGAGCCTGGTGATAAACTTCTTCACGAGTACTCCCTCTGTTCCAAAATTATTGTTCAGTTTGATATTTCACTTAGTATAATTTAAACTAAAAATGAAAATATAAACGGCACAATAATTATGGAATGGAGAGTACAAACTTAGAAAACAGCTCTATCACATCTATACCACTAAAAATTTTTTATTTTTCTTTTAACTTCGATGGTCGTGTTCTCGTATTATAAATGAATCCTCCTAATGATAAAGATCAATTTCAAAGTTTGTCAAACCTATTGATTTCTGGAAGCAACAAAATTCGTAAAAAGATGGATATCTTATTTGTTGTTGTTATATTGGATACAATTATAGTTGTAAAACTCCGCAACTTATTCAGTTCACGTTTCACGTTTTTAACATAAAAAAGAAGGAATTTAGAAAAAGGAAGTCTCATAACTTCTTTTTAAGAATTGAAGGTGCGAGCTGGTGGAACAGCCAATAAGAGAAATTTGTCTGCTCAACTCGTTAATTAGTTTGAAAGAAGTTCTGAGTTCCCCTATAATACAAACTACCAAGATTAGATATATCCGTCAGGAAAATTGCTGCTCGTATAGATTAGTCGGCCTCTTTCTGTACAAGGTTGTGTGTTATCTTTTCATGAACCGAGATGAAGATGATGATGATGATGAGCCTTTCTGTTGTTGGTTATGTGATCTCTTCCCCTTTGCCAATCCACTATCACTATAACTCCCATCAGGTAAATCTTCATGTACATCCGAAAACTCTGTGTTCCACGAGTTTAACGGCACGAGGTAACTGTCGTCTTTCCAACTCTTCTGCCTCTGCTGATGCCGTTTCACATTCTCCGATATCTCATGGAATGTTCTGTTAATTTTAGCAATCCCTCTTTCAACTGGTTCGACAACGTGCGAAACTGTGAACTTCATGTCATCCACAATCTACGATAACACATGATCCCACAATATACTCGGAAGTCAGGACACAAGACTAGACAAAATGCAAATCAAGAGCAAATATAGAGGAGGACCGGATCTTACAATTTCGCCACTTCCAATAACCACATCACGGACACTTTGATGAAGTTTCAACCGTTTCTCTCTTTCTTCTTGCCTACCAATTCGCAACTTTGTAGTTCTCTCACAGTCTCTGACCTCGTCGAGGTCCTCCGGAGACCCAAGAGATGCATAGTCTGACATGACAGCAACATTACGGACGCATCTTTCTCCCCGTCTATAAGGAACGGCTGGGAAAACATATAGATGTATCACAGCAGCAACACCCATCTGATGAACAGCAAAGAAGTAAACATATCACTAACCTGAAATACTGAGAAACAACATGAAATAATGCCTTGTCGAATATATTATGACTATTTCTTTTTTGGGGTAAATCATATAAGAGAATATCTCACAGAAAGGTACATAATCTTTCAAAAACATAGCCGTCTTTTAACCTTCAAAACTGTTCACCAAAAAACTAAAACAAAACACTTTCAAAACTAAGACAAAGTGAATCAAGAATACATTTGCCACATACCTCAATGCAAATAATATAATCCTGAATACGTGCTTGCAAGACCTGAGCCAAAGCCCCTTTAAAGGCTCCCAGTGAGAAAAGAAAAGCAACCGCAACACCTTGCCACCATGTTAAGAAAACAATGGACTTGAATGTCAGAAATTTGGCCAAAGGTTTAATTGGCGCCAACTTGTTCTTGGTAACAGAGTAAAACTGCACCAGGCAGTACAAGGCCCACGTCTGACTGAAGTTTAAAATAACTGCTAAGTATGGATAACTGCAAGAAAAAGACCAAAATCCAGGCTAAGCAGAAGAACCAAACACAAATCCAGAAGCAAATTATCAATGAGTGAATTGATTGGATAACTTACGCATATGTCCATTCAAATTTTCCCTCACCATAAACGCCAAAAAATTCAAAAAACATAGCAAACAGAGCGCATATCATCTTCAGTATCATCTGAAACAGAAAAATCCGCATAAAAAGTCCATTTTTATGCAAAAATATAAAATATAATTAATAAATAAAATCATCAGATAATCTCTGAATAATCTAATAGGACTTACATATTGCACAACCCCAATTTTCACTGCTTGATAAAAGTCTGATCCAAGGTACCATGGCCGTAGACAACAGTTCATAGGAAAAGGATGCTCAACTTGCCCATAAATATAAGCTTCATCGAGGAGAGGAATGCTTGAAGAGGCCGTCCTTTGATTTTCCATGAATTCTATGGTACTTTCCTCCCCACCTAAAGTTTAAGCCAATTAGATTAAATAACATGCTCTACTTGCTAACAGATGTAGTAAGCCTAGTAGCCTTGACCAGACTGCGTAACACAAATATAAATACAATCATCATCAGAGTTCCATTACAGATGAGATCTCATAAGGGCTCAACATATACGTGATAGGGCGATTTAAAGGAGGAATTCAAGAATAATCACATTGGACAAAAGTACCATCCACAATATTCTCCAATCAACATTTATATGAGGACTGAATTTCTAATGACTAAGATTCAAAGTAATGCCACCCTTACAATAATTCCCTTCTCTTCCAGCAAACTTTGCTATACACATAAATTCCGCTAAGGGTGAGATACATGTGCAAACAGAAAAATATAGCAATGTAGTAATAGCTTACGATAAACATACGACAGAGATGCTAATTAGCTTCACTATTCCAGTTGATAGAGCTAAGGAAGCTCGAGATGTAGGATGAAACTTGTAAAACTACTGAAGGAAAGTCATCGGCAGCTTATTATAACACATATGCAAACAATTTTTTACTCAGATATTCATTTACTGTATTGTGAATACTTTAATGTACTTTCCACAATTTCTTGGGTTAGGAAACAGAAAAATCAAATCTTGATGACCTACATGCACGCAAAGAAAATGTCCAAGAAGTTTTGTCACCAGATGAATTAACACTCCCAAACCTTAATTCTCATTTTAAAACAAACCTGCATTTAAGCAAATGTGCATCCTTCTAAACGAGTTGGAAAACCTCACAAATTCACATGGATGACTAGTCAGAACTTCATAACTGCACAAAGAATTGGACATCTACAACATTACTAAAACAAAATCCTAAAACTTCTAACTGCATGAAAGTTACAGCTCAAGATATGAGGATTAGTAGCTGTACAACATTCTCAGGAGCCTCATAAACAACTGAAACCTTAAATAATGAATAGGAATCAATCCAATTTCAAAAAAAAAAAAAAAAAAAAAGAATAGGAATCAATCAAACAGTAAATGAGAGAACAATTTTTCCACAAACCTAGGCAGGCAATCAGATATCTCTCAAAGCAATATAATGCAAATGCTTCATAGCAATCCCGTACGATCTCGTAGTAAAAAGCAGCATTGGAGTTCAGCAAGGACAAGAACTGTTTGGAAAAGGAAGATTGTCAACAAAACCTTCTACAAACTGAAAGAGGAAATAGCAACCTGAAACAATTTTATTTCACTTCATTTTTAAGGAAAGAAGCAAACACTATCAGACAATCAATCACTTTAAAAGTTACAAAACTCAGAAAAAAGTTGTGAAATGAACAGATAAATTATACTTAAAATTTGGTTAGTACTTCTAACGCAGGACAAACTTGGTGGTTAAGAAAATCAGGTTGTAGATGGTCTAATAGGATAAACGCAGCGGAAAATCAATAGAAAACTGTAGGGAATAAGGGTAGAAATCACAGGAAAACAGGGATAATCAGTAGGAAGAAGAAGAAAACCTAAGAGTCACTCTTAGGGCCCTTTGGCGTCACACCGCAGGATTCCTAGGCGTCACACCAAGGTTTTAGTTGAGTCACACAACTGTTGTTGAAAGCAAAAGCTTGCAAGAATTTTATTGATCTCATAACCGTCCAAAACCCTCAAACGAGGTACATGTATATAGGCCTAAAACTTAACCTAAACCAAAGACAACTAGGATTCATACCTAATTTCCTTTTTATTCCAGAAAATCCTGCAGCATAGCTAATATACTAAAATACCCTTTCCTAAAAATTATTACTGAAGGTAATAAACTAATTAAATTAATTGCTGCTTAAGAATAATGGATTAACTCAACCAAAGTCCTAACACTTTGGTTCCTTCCTTGGATCATGATGATCCTGGGCATAAGAATGGAGTATCCTAAAGATAGAGTTATTACCCCCTTCTTTGTCCGCATTAACTTCCTTAAAGTTGTAGTACTCCTTACAATTTTAAGCCATAACTTTCCCCCACAGAATTGACAAAACTACCTTTCTTTCAATTGCAACTTTGAGACATAATTTTATATTTTTTTATTGATTAATTATTTTTTTTATCATGAACGAGTAAATATCACCTTTCTTGGGTGAGTATCTATAATGAGAGGATAAGAATGTTATAAAGTATTCAAAAATCAACTCTATCAACAAGTTTGTTGGTCTCTTAAAACGGAAGAAACCCCGAATTATTTCACATCAATTACCACAAAATGTATTAGCTCAACTAAAACATTCTATGGTCTCTTAGTTCCCCTGCACGAGGCCTCATAGGATTTCAATCAAGAAGACAAGATAGGAGATGAGTAAAAGCAACCTATTTCTCATACCGATTCTGATGCATATACAGGAACCATCAGGATGAGTCCCACCAAGAACTTTTGCTCCTGAAATACAAAAGATAATTGAATAATGTCCTAAAAGTAGACAACAATATGGAAGAAGAAAGGGGATTTTCAGTGTCATGATTCACAAGTTAACACAGCAGCCATCTAAGGAATCATACATTTGAAAAATCAACAAATGAAAACTTATGGATTTCAACATCAAATTTTGTAAAACAAACCTCAGGCTGATTGTAAGCTGCTAAATGTTCAAAGATGAGATACATAGATAGAACAAGAGCCACCAACACAAATGTCCCCGCACTGCATACTGCCCAGCTATAAAGTAGAGATGACCTAACTCCAACATCATTGGAACCAGTAGCTAGAACTTGAGACCAGAGCTTCCCTGCTCTGCTAGTTGACTCAACTAGACTAGCCAAGGATAATAGTAAAAATATAACGCCCTTCCACTTCATCACAGCAGCAGCGATCTTCAGCACGTCAACCAAACTATTATTCTTAATAAGATAGATCAATCTCCAAAGCACAAGTTTTCATTCCTAGGTGTTAAATATAGGACTCTTTTCACTTCAGTGCTTTATTCAACCAAATGGGTCCATTCTCTGGTATGTATGTATTCGAGACTAAGAAATATAGTATATCCGTCAAGTCCCTTGAAGTGAAGCATAATCAAGAGCCTGAAATGTTGTGACCAGAACTGAAGAAAGTCTATAAAGCAGTCCACCAATCTGCAACAGTTAAAATAGCCAGTGAACAATTTGAAAAGTGAACAATACATTGACTTAGTGTCCAACAAGTTATAACAGTAATGTGTTTTCATTTTATTCTCTCAAGGCAAAATTACAGAAGCTACGTTTAAATCATGACTTATTCCTAGCATATCTGATGCGAATAAGAAAGGACAGGATAACTCAACTGAGCTGTTCTTTAGTTGTGCCTAGAATCATCATGATTCCTGGAAGCCAAAGTTCATAACTTTGATTAATTAAAATATTAGAAGAAGTCATGTACAGGAAGGCTTTATTGTTTTCAGTAGTTTCTAGTTTTTAGTCGATAAATTAAAGTAATTCCCTGGAATTACCTTATAGATAGGCTTCCTGTTTCATGTGTTTCTTTTAAACGTGTCAAGGTAGTCATCTAAAAAGGAAAATAAAGGTTGTTTCCTAATAGGTTCAGTTTGACCCTATAAATATTGTACACCATTTGAGCGTTAGAATTCAGTTTACAGCCTTAATAAAATTTCCAGCGGAGAAGCTTTGCTTTTCCTATGGTTGTGTGATACAACAAAACCCTAGGTGTGATGCCTAGGATTCCTGCGATGTGATGCCAAAGGGCCCTAAGAGTGATTCTTAGGTTTTCTTCCTGTTTTCCTGCAATTTCTACCTTGTTTCCCGATATAATTCTTTAATTTTTCCACTGCGTTCTACTCATTAGTAAGCCTAAGGTCTGATAGCTACCACAGCCTGTTCTACATCAATATCATAATCAATGTTCTTGTTGAAATATTTTTATAATATCTGTATAAATTTTTTTGTGCTACGCGTAGTTCTCTCTACAACTAGATTCTGATTTCCAAATGATAAAATGTTCACATTCAAATCTTTACTTTTTCTTTAAAGAAGTCCAAATTACAAAGTTTCTTCTTAGATATTCTTCCTCATGGTGTTTAACCTATTTATGTAGGTCTTTAAGTTACAAATAGCTTTTAAGAGTCTTGACAACCTAAGGTCGGCTAGCTCACAAGCTATACGATACACCTTGATGGCTAGGAAGTGTTTAGGTTTAAGAAGAACTCTCAAGTCATGAGTTCTGAATTTTCAGCACTAGGGATTATCAACAAACCCTTAGTCCTTTTAACAAGAGTTAAAACAGTGTCATACTATGATAAATGAAAAGAAGCTCCAATAAAAAAATATTAGTGAAAAGGTTAAAAAATCAGAAGAATCACAGACCAGATTTTCTGTGACTGATATGTAACGTTCAAATCAAATTTCCAAAACATACCAGATACCTATTTATTAATCCATAAAAACTGTGTAGAACCAGGTTAAACAGAGAAGAGGCTCATGAAAAGAAATCTTGGAAATGAGTCCAAAGAATAAGAGAAACTGGCATTACACAGCGGATCTCTAATCTGATTTTTGAGGATGCAACCAGCAACTATACCTAGGTTCAAACAAATATATTGGAAGTTCCACTAAGCCATTTATCAAGCCGTAACAACCAAGACAAACCTTAAAACCCCAGAAAGTGTTTGCCAAGGGAAATATGCACAAAGAACCATAAAACCGAATAATCAGGCCCTTCAAAATAGCTACTCAAATCTGGATTTTCAAATCCCTCCTCTATGTTTTTACTTCGAGACAAAAGTTCATACCTCCAGAACACAATTAAACCAGCTATAAACCATTTAGCAACCAAGAACAACATGCAACAAAAAGAACGAGGTTTAGCTATTACACACAGATTCTTAAAATCCTCAAACTGATTCCGAACCTTCTAAGCATTGATCACATATCAATTGGACAGAAATTTTTACCTGTCTCGGCTGTTTATTGATGATCCAAGCGTATCTCGATTGTTGTTGCTTTACCAACTTGACAAATTCTTTCCTCTTCTTATTCTTCTTCTCTCTCGGCCCTCCTCTCTCAAATCTCTTTCTCTTGCTTATATCTATTTTCAGAATTCTAACAGTATATATATGGCCGGTGGATTGGATTTGAAAGGTTGGTGAAGACAAAGCTTGGAAGGGGAAAGAGAAAGACTAAGGGAAATAGAATTTTGGGGGAATAGTCTGTCTCGATGGTTTCAGAGTTTTAGAAGGGGAAAAAAGATTCTGATAATTTAAAACACAGCCCTCAATTGTGACTTAGTCCCTTAAGTAGGTAAATTTGGGTACTTCGATCCTTGTATTTTCAAATGGTTCGCATTGGGTCCCTTTATGTTTATTAGTTAAACAGAATTTATTTGTTTGAAACTTGTTGTAACAAGTCTATCTATTTTTATGCAACAAATAATTTAAGTTTTCTGAACAACCTTAGCCTAGTGTATACATAATATAAGTTTTCTAAACAACCTTAGTCTAACATAGGTTGCACTTGTAACCAATAGACCTTTTTAGTACTGAATCGACATGCAGAAAGAGGCATGCACGCACAGAGTCTCTCTCATTAATAGTAACTAAACTATGCCCCCACGTTGCACTCTGGATTTTTAGATATTATTCTATTAAATTTAAAATGACATTTTATTTTATAAAATCCAAAATTATTGCTTTTGGTTAATAATATCATTTTCAAAATATTAATCCATATTGATTTATAATTGTAAAGTATGGTGTTTTGATATGCTAGCCAACCAATCTTTTTATAACTTGAGATACATGCTAATTAGAGTTATTCCCGTAAGAATTTTGTCAATGAAAGTTTCATTATTATCTATAATAAAAAAGCTAATATAAAGTCACGCTTGGCCAATTAGTTTTTTGCGATCTGATTGGTCGGGCGATCGTCACATAACATCATCTTTGCATCACAGTTACATTATATTTTTTAATGGGGTCGAAATTATCTTTCAATAAATAGTTATAAATAGAAAAAATTAAAATTTTCCCATAAGCCCCTTCTAAAAAAAAAACGACGTAGTTTGGGAGGAGGCAGTATCTGCACAAAAAAAATTTCCTCCAACCCCCCAATAAAAAAAACTTCCAATTTCCTCCCATAACCCCCCCCCCCTTTCTCAAAAACGACGTAGTTTGGAAGGGGGTCTTATCTGAAAAAAAAAAAATCCCACGCACCCATTAAAAAAAACTTCCTCGATATTGTCCTCTCTTCCTCCCCAAATCAGACCACCTCCGACGTCTTCCTCCTCAAATCCGCCCTCACATGAACCCTAGAAAATTTCCCAATCGGCGTCCACTCATCCTTGCATCCACAAGAAATTCTGCCCTTAAATATCATTAATAATCCTCTTCCTACAAGTGGCTTTTGAAGGCAGCAAACCCGCCATAGCTCAAGGCAATTCAATATTTGAAACATTGATAAAAGACGGATATATTACTGACACCGTTTAGAAGTGCCGGAGGCGTGGAGAAGGAGGTGGCAACAATGCGGCATGAAGATGACGAAGGTAAACTGTAATCGAGGTCGACTTCATGGTACT